TGGTTATTTGAAACCCTGGGTGTGTGTTTTGCACGTGTAAGGAGTAACTGTTGCTCCAACTCCTCTGGTTACTGTAGCTGGAGCCGGGATGGCCACAAACTGGTCAGTGCGTCCACAGACAACATCGTGTCCCAGTGGGACGTGCTCTCCGGAGACTGCGACCAGAGGTTCAGATTCCCTTCACCCATCCTGAAAGTCCAGTATCACCCTCGAGACCAGTAAGTCCTGGGAAAAGAGGGTTGAATACTCTTGTTTTCATAGAACTAGTGATTATTGAAATGGTGCAATTTGTGTTTATTTTAATAAACCTAGTCAGTGCTACCAGTGCATCTTCCTTGTTGTGATTGGAACCCTAACTGGGTTTGTTATGGTTTGCTTTATTATGGAAACATCAGAAAGGGAGGAGAGTAAACAGGAGAAGGGTTCTTGGGAATGTGTCTTGGGAACCTCTTGTTTGCAAGTTACTGCATAAACTTGGAGAAGTTTCCAGAGGAAGAAAGTGGATGAAACAGACACCAGCTCAGTGTCATGTTGTCATTGAAGGAACAAAGACAAGATAATCAAAATACAGAGGTATCCTGGGTCTCTTGATATAGGTTGACCTTTTTTTTTCCCCTCTGCTTTTAAATCTGGGCACTTCAGAGAAAAAATAGAACCCAAAACCTCTGAATTGTTCTTTTTCTTTGTTGCAGAAACAGAGTTTTGGTCTGTCCCATGAAGTCGGCGCCGGTGATGCTGACGCTGTCAGACTCCAAACATGTTGTCCTGCCTGTGGATGATGATTCTGACCTCAATGTTGTGGCCTCTTTTGACAGGCGAGGGGAATACATTTATACAGGCAATGCTAAGGGGAAGGTGAGATGTTAGCAGGCAACACTGGCTGTGAACTTCCTGCTTTTCCCAAGTTGCTTAAGGTTTTTGAGTTGTGTTCTTTGTTTCGATGTACAAATAAGGTGTCCTGAATAGTTGATATCCTGCTGATAAGATCTTCTGAACAGAGCATCACACTTTATCTTTGAAGATCTCTAGATTACAGTCTTTGTCTCAGTTAGGTCTTTGTCTTGCTGTTGACTTTGACCATAGTTGTTGAATCCTTTTCCAGCATAAATAAACCAATTACTATGTCACAGAAACTGCAGTTGCAGAATCTCAGCTATTCCTGTGTATGTTGCTGAGGCTCCTCTTGCCAGGGTTAGCAGCTAATGTGCAAGGTACCAGAAGGAGAATGAGATACAATGAAGACACTGATTGCCTCCTGTTTCCTTCATCTTCAGATCTTGGTCTTAAAAACAGACACTCAGGATCTTGTTGCTTCCTTCAGAGTCACAACTGGAACCAGCAACACCACAGCTATTAAATCGATTGAATTTGCTCGGAAAGGAAGGTGAGTTACTTCACTGATCAGCTGGTATCTTTAAAGGTGAATTGCAAGCTATAGGATAGTCTTAACCTCCCCCCAGTTGTTTCATGGAACATATTCTGATTCTTTTTTATTTTAGCCTTTTAACCCAACACATGTTTTGTGCCCTTCCTCCTGCAGCTGCTTTTTAATAAACACAGCTGACCGGATCATCAGGGTGTACGACGGCCGTGAAATCCTCACCTGTGGACGAGATGGGGAACCTGAGCCCATGCAGAAGCTGCAGGACTTGGTGAACAGGTAGGAGACAGCAGAATGGCTGCTTAGCCTGCTATGAACCAGTGAGGTTTGTGTGCTCAGCAAAGGAGGCTCTGGAGGAAAGGGTGGCTTGTTATCTTATTCAGGGTAATGGACAGCTAATTTAATTTGAAACCTATCTGCCAGAATTCAAGTTTAAGTATTTGTGGGTGAAGAACGAGCCAACTCCAGAGTCCTCCATCCTCCCTGTGATGTTGCTGTTGAACTTGTGACACTGTCTTTGAACCCAGGACCCCGTGGAAGAAGTGCTGTTTCTCTGGTGATGGTGAATACATAGTGGCAGGTTCAGCACGACAACACGCCCTGTACATCTGGGAGAAGAGTATTGGAAACCTAGTGAAAATCCTCCACGGGACCAGAGGAGAGCTGCTCTTGGATGTAGCAGTAAGAAAACTGTCTGCTCTTACTATGTTTCTTGTTATTTTGGAAAACTAAGCTTCATTTCATTAACCAATTAAGCTCCTCCTCTTTTCTCTTCCTTGTAAATCCAGTGGCATCCTGTCCGACCCATCATAGCTTCCATTTCCAGTGGTGTTGTGTCCATCTGGGCTCAGAATCAAGTGGTAAGTGGTGTAGATTTTTTCCTTAAGAGGATTCCTTGGGAGTTTCCATCCTAGTAGACTGAATGTTGAAATCCATGATTAAATTCCCATCCAACAAGCTTTTTAGGCCCACCTGCCTAACCTGACCTGTGTTTGCCATCTGGTTGAATGTGAGGAGGGGACTAGTGCTGCAGTTGCTGAACTGGTTAAGCTTTGCATTAAATCTTAAATATAATCACAAGGACATTTAATTGTCCTTCATAATAAATAAATGTCTTTAACAACAAAAAAATAAATGTGGGAATGGTGTCCTGAATGTGTCTTTCAAGTGCAGGAAATCTGAATGAGCCCCAACTAAGTGGCTAAACATGAATGTGCAGCTTTAGTTTTAGGTGTCATTATTACATATGTTGCAATATTTAAGGAATATTGTGTCATATTTTCAGTAGGACCTAATTCCTGAAGTTCCTAATTTGCCAGGTGACTGTGGAGCCCCCAGTGAGGCTTGTTTTTTGTGATCTTGTACATGGCTTGGGGGTTTTGATGCAGAATGAGGTGGTGATCGCAGGAGTCCTCACTGTGGCATGAGGTAAAAATCCCTTTGAATTTGTGGTTTAGGAAAACTGGAGTGCCTTTGCACCTGACTTCAAAGAGCTGGATGAAAATGTAGAATATGAAGAGAGAGAGTCAGAGTTTGACATTGAAGATGAAGATAAGAGTGAGCCAGAACAGACAGGTACTGCAGAAAGAGCTGCTGTGCAGCAAATGGTTTGTAATCTCTGACTGTGCAACTGTAGTAAGAATTAAAACTGGTAGTCACAGTAAAAATAAAACTGGTGGTCACAGCAGTACACATGGGTGTTAAATAACAAATCAGGAGTAGATAAATTAAGATGTATGAACTAAACAGGGTGTGATTCCTGCAATAGAAGTGCAACGTTTTTTATTTTTATTTTTTTAGGAAAGCCTCCCCTCTCCACTATGTACTTAAGCAGTAAAAAATACCCCTGGATCACAGCCCCTCAACAGCAGCAGTGCTGAGTCTCAGTCAGTAGCAGCACAACCTGCCACTTGGTGGTGCCAAAAAATTGTGCTATGAAAGGCTTGTGGGAGTTAAGCACGAAAATAAATCTCATCTGATTTAGAATTAGTTGAGTGAAAACAACAAAACATCTAGAATATTTAAAATAATTTATCCAGCTTCATTACTGGTGGTTTGTAACAATAGGTCTGTA